AAAAGAACATAAAATGTTCTAGTACAAGGCTGATATGTGATGTACAAACAATTCGAATTAAATAAATATTTTCAACCCTTTTTAGAAGCTCATTAGTTTTTTTTTAAACTAAGGCTAAACAAAGTGGTAAATTGACAAATTTAAAACAAATGTTACCAAGATACTCAAACTGATCACAAGTTTTTGACGTGTTTCTTATATTCAAATATATTTTGAGGTTGTCCTGATATGCCAACAGCTGCTTTTTTGTTATTTACATTTTTCACAGCGTCCCACTGTTTGTTGAAACCCATTCACAGATTGTGAACACGCAGTCGTTTGTCTCGTTTACCTTCCAGAAGAGGATGCTACAGTGTTTGCAAAAGTGCAACGTGTCGCCGTACTGCTCCTTCATGGGGTAGTGCTTCTGCAGGGTGAAATACATCAGCTTCCAGTCCACATTGTCGTTCTTCGCAAGAACCAGATTCCTGCAGAACTGTAAATGTAGAAAAAAAGCACACAGGGAAAAATTTTAAAACAATCAATTAAACCACAGGAGAGAAAATTGTAAGTAAAAGCGGAGCAGAGTGTAATTAGATTAACACCATTCTGGGTCCTCAGATGTAAGTATGTGTGAGAAAATGGGATGCTTAAAAGCTTTGCATATTATAGTACAACTCTGCCCTCTAGTGGCCAATATGAACTTCTCCTTTCTTACCAGGCAGTCTTAAACATAATTTCCAGTGAACATTTCGAATAAGTAAAAGAACAAAACTTGTCACTTTCTCACCGGTTTGTCTGAAAAGTGAAAGTGGCACAGCTTCTTCCACAGCRTCCTGTTCTCGCTGAGGATGTGCAGCGTGGGCGTGGCCTGTCCCAGGTTGATGATGTCGCAGCCGTCCGATAACTTGCAGAGGATTTTGCTCTGCATGTGTAGTGGCAAGTCGCTGAACGAAATACCYGTGCACATTTGCTGAGAAAACAAGGGGAAAATGTGTTTTACTGGAGCCACGTTGTATCAATCAACTGAGCACAAATAAAACAAATCTATTAAACAAAACAGACGTGGAATCATTTCTCCTTCAGTTTAGGTTTAGTGCACAAGTGAAGGCAAAATGTTTGGGGAAGATCTTTTTGTTTGTTTTTAACAGCACTTTCTGGAGAACACTCAGCTTTATTTGCATTAGCAAGTGATTAAGAATTTAAATTGCCTTTTTTTTACCTTGGGGATCTGCATGTTGTTGAGCTCCTGCTGCCATTTCACAATAGTCTCCAAGCGGCACAGCCAGATGTTCACGTTGCCCACAAGGACACACCTGCCAACATGGATGGTCAGACTGTGGAGCGTGGAGCTCAAGTCCTGCAGAAGCTCCTTAACGAGACGTGGATTGTACTGGTCCTCTAAGACTGGAGACCAGATTCAAAAAAATCAATGAGAAATGCCATAAAATACTGACAATACTGTTTATACTTGTGAAAATGATGCACCAGTGTAACATAAAAGCAGCTACAGCTGCTCATAGGGTTAGCATACTGTATGTTTTTCTACAAATTACAAAAATAGAAGTCTTGTCAAGACTTCATACCTTTTCGTACGATCTTCTCCAGAATATTGAAATAGTTTTTCTGGGCAGCACCACTCAAAGATGTCAGCTGGGACCTGGCTATTAGCTGAAAGAGCTGTGGTGTAGAGAGAGATCCAGGACGTAAGAGGCACCKGCACAAGTCAAGGAATGACCCAAAGAAGGTGTGAGCATCATTATTTACCTTTGCAACGTAGTTGAATCTTCTCAAGTCTTGAATGGCGCTGGAAAAGTCCAGTCGGTTGAGAGCTTCTCCGAGCGTGCAGTACCCGTGCCGCTGAGAGGACAAAGCAAAATATTTACTCTCTGTGTGATAAAAGCAGTGGTGAGCACAGTTCCAGTTAACATTTTGATGAGCGGTTTAGCATTAACCTTGTAAACTAATAACCCACTTCGCTCTAGATTAATATATTTTATTCTCAAATCTATTGTAAAAAGTTCGATCAAATATATTTTAGACATTTTCCCAGCATCCTTTGCACCGGAGATCACAGAGATCATTTCCTGAGTTTGTTTCAAATTTTTTTAAAAATGAAATGACGACACACATCTTTGCTTTAATCTGGGGCRTACAAATATTTGTCTTTTAGTGTTAAAAGTTATTATTTAAAAGTAAGACCTAAGTCGGCAGAAACACAATTTTGTTCCCTCTCTCGTTAATTTTCCCTGTTGTCAGCTGTAGCTCCGCCTCCTGGCTTTATCATAAAACAAGGGCGGCYGTTACCCAGCATGCAATGCACCGTGACATAGTTTCCTATTTTCTWTGTTCTTAAATTTCACCTGAAGAAGAGATATAAACACTTTTATCTGTGATCTATGAAGCATTTTCAGTTGTGCTGAAGTGAAGTTAWGGACTGTAAAACTGAAGCCATTACCGTTACAGAACGTCAGCAGAACTAAGACATTTGTGTCGATGTTTAATTTATGAAGCTAATATTTTRGTTAGCTGYCCCCCACCWCTGTATACAAGTATTAWCAAGCTGTTGGTTCGTTTGGCAGCAAACAGGTCCCATACAGAAAAYATTCTTTAGTACTCACTTCTTTTGTGCTCCCTTTCTGTACGTAGATCCATTTATCTCTGAAAACAACTAAAAACAGGAAAAAAAAACAGGAACTTTATGCTACATGAGCTGGACACCTCAACACTTTATACACCAAAAACCTAAGTGAAAATGGACAAAACAATAATTCTAAAGGTCATATTTTCAACACAACTTTGGCCAAAATCCAGAGAGAATTCTGTGACAAAACATTTTGCACTCTTCTACACATTAGTTTTAATTTTCATACCTCTTTACTAAAGCTAAAAATCAGTGTCGAAACTCACATTGGGATTTGGTATTGTTATTGTAGAAGTCCTTTTTCCTCTTGGTGTTGGCGAGTTCACAAACTTCTCCGACGAACAGATCCTCATTGTCGTTACTGCAGAATCTGTTCACAAAGAAAAAAAAACACTTTTAAAGGATTTTATAAGTATATAAACATGTTTGTCCAGGAAATGCAGAAAAGTGTAATTACAACTCTACGCTTTGTTCTCCTGACACTTCATTTAACTTTTTACTTGACATAGAACATAACTAAAGCTAACAGGAGCCAGACTAATGAAAAAGCAAAATAACAGTGATTACATTGTGYTGTTTGCACGATGGAGGATGCAGTACAGATGACAAACAGACATCTGAGTCAGAACAACAGATGTGACTCAGCCTTTTCTCGAACAACAAACGCATCATGTTGTCTAACAGAGATCTGACAGAATCAACAGTTAACTCATCTCTGTTGTTTCTGACGTGATAAGAATCGGCAGCCTTTATCGAGGGAAACAAAAACTTTGTCAAAATGTCATCCTGTCAATTAAAGGGGTAGTTCAGAAATTGTGAAGGGGAGTTTCTGTGAATGAGCAGCTCAAAATAAACATTTAATTGTGATCTGTACTCAGTATTCCTTCTTCATTTCTTAATATTTTCTAAAGATTATTAAACGAGACACTCTGCTTTTTAATTCTTCTTTTTCACATTTAAACCATTCAGTTGGGATCTTTATAAAAAACTGCAACACTTTGCTCTGAATTCCTCCTATAGTAACTCCACAAGCCCTTCTGAGGTGTGKCTCAGATTAACTCATTTTGAGGCTGTCTCTTGAAATCCAAACGAGACGCTTCACACCCCGCCCCCCTCCAGTCCGGTTCAGAATCAGAATCAACTTTATTGTCATTCAAACATAACACCAGAGCTGCAATGTAGAACGAAACTGTCTTAAGATCACCCGTTCAAGAAGGACATACATAACAAACATGGGGGAACAAGGGGAACAGGTCATTCGTAACAGAGTCGCGCAAGCTTTTTGCAGCTTGGAAATACACAATAGGAGAGATGAGTTAAAAAATTGCTCTGATCTTACATTTACACAGAAACATAAAATCATATGCACAAAAACCACTCGCGATCGAAGCAGAGAGCCTGGGCAGGGAGGGAGCTTAGTTCAAAACACATGAGATGGGGACGGGAATCAGTAGAGTCGRTGACGGTGAGGGACAGGGGGTCTCCGTACTAGAACCGACCATAGCCCCGCAGAGTCCAAAGTCACATGATGTTATTTAGCTCGGCTCGTTAGWGTCAGAGTTCCCTCTCCTCAGCCTTGGGTTCATGGCCAGCATCAACACGGATGGGGTGATGTGGGTGGGAGGGAATCAGGCCTTTGTTGATATTCCATCCTGGGAAGTTTCAGATAAGCATGGCAACCAAGGCCAAAGCTGCTGGGAGCTGAATAGATAAACACAATTGTTTTGGGATAAAACAGTCTTGAAATTTTCTGCTGTTTTTTGTGTCTTAACTGCATCTCTGAAAGTGGCGAAAAAAACTTCAATCTGCAAATTTTGGGGTCTCTCGCCTCTTTACCGACTGAAGCTTCACCTAGATGTAATCCTACATGCCAGAGGCCCCGCTCCTGAGCTGCGATCCTCGTCAGAACCACATCCAGTTTGCGGCTTATCTCCCCCAGCAACTGAGTCTGTGTGCTTCCAGCCTGGCACAAGCTTTCCAACGCGCCCAAAAGCTTCTGAACGGCCCGGCCCGCTGTTAGGGTCGCTTTCACTTTTCGATAGATCAGGACTCCGCCTCCTCCGATCAGCAGAAATCCAGTTATCATAAATCCAAATATATACAAATCTTCCACGTCTTCAATGGAAAGTGGTGCGAGACACATCAGGTTCCAGCTCCCCCAAGAACTACTGATAAGACCAGCAGCAACCATTCCCTCGGACAGCTTCGTTCCCCTTGATCCAATCTTAATGTTGGAAAAAAATAGTATCAATTGCGTTCAGAGACCAGTTGACCAAATCCATAATTCCTTTTTATTTCGGATGGTAGGTAGAAGAAAGGCTTGAAAAAAAGCTACAGAAGCAAGGTAGGGGGGAGCAAAAAAGCATGCGACCCCTCTGAAAGCCAAGCAAAGAAAAAAAATCATTCCGGTTTGATAGAGAGGTTTACGGCTATAGGTGCAGAAAACTTTTATTTACAAATGAATTAAAAGATGTCAACAATGAAAGACTGGTCCGTCCAGCCTTACATGTTGGAGCCAGAGTCTGACCCAGAACCAGAGGAGATAGAAGACCACCAAATTGTAGTTTGTACGTCCAGACCTTAGAAGTTTTGTTGCAAATACTGTCCCGTAATTGTTCAGAAAAGGACACAGAAAACTGAACAGGTTAAAAATGACTCAAACAGAATATAAAGATATCTTCACAGCACCGGGAGAAACTAAATTCAACTTTTCTGCACTACTAGAGACTCCAAAGTCACAAAAACGCATTTAACAGCTAAGAATGTGGATTTTGCATGATATGTCCTCTTTAAACAAATGAAAGCGCTGAGCGGGGCTGGTAACTGACTCCATGCATTAATAATCCACTGGCTGAAAGTGAGCGCCAGACTTTCAACATCACCAGCTTGGGGGTTGTCGTGCTCAGCTGATGGGCATTTATACTTATAAACTATATTATTAACAGAGAACAGAAACACCTTTACATCACATTTAATGTGTGGATGGTTGTAAACAAGCTCAAATGTGTGCAACTTTTTTGGCATAAATGTTATTCAGCGTTGATTCACAGTAAATTGCAGGTAAAATGTTAAATTGAAAATATTCCAGTTCTGAAATGATGACACCGCCAGCCTGCTTTGGTTGTACGTATGTTTCAGATTGTCGATGCACTGGGAGGTAATCTGCTGAAAGGCTTTTGGCTTTGAGCAACACTGAACCTTCCAACGAGACAACAATCTGAAACAGACATCTAACAGAAGACGGAATAAAATTCTGGATTGCACAGCCCGACCAACTTTCTGCCCACATTCTGTGGAAGAAGCTAAAGAGCACACAAATCCCCACATGAACTTTCATGATTTTTAAAGTTTTTAAACTAGCAACAAATTGTTTTTTTTCCTCTCTGCTGAAAAAAAACCCTGCATGATAAACAAAATTCAATATAAACTGACGATTTATACTGAAAACTCAGTTTCATGACATCACTGAGCTTTCTAAGTGTGAGTCAGCTCGTCTGCTGAAACGAGCGCTGACAGACTAACATGGAGCTGTGAGCTACAGTTCGCTGGTCGATCAATACAAAAAGCGATATTGTGACTGCGGGGGGAGAGATATCACCAGTTGCTGCGGGGATCCCAGTGAGTCTCTGCAACTAAAAAAAAAAAACAACAGCTCTGCTCTTTGTGAGCTAAACAATGAAACAGTTTGTTTCTGTCGCTTTGCATCCATCTGAATTTAGACATCTTAAATCAGTAAAACACAGAGTTGTTCAAGCTTTATAGAAGGATTTAGCTCCGAACTAATCACTTATTGAGTTTGTTTTGACTTCAGACCTATTTGAAAGCCATTAAAAAGAAGACGTTGTGGATTTACAACACATTTCTGTGAATAAATACAGTAGGTAACAAATTGTATTTAAACATTTAAATATAGAGAAAATAATGAATAGAAAGAGGATCAGACAAGTAACTAAATAACACAGGGCTATTCAACTAAATTGCTCCGGGGGGCCACAGTTACTGCCGGTCAACAGCTGAGGGGCCGAACATCCAGCAATTAAAGTTATTTTGTAAATAAACCATGTATTACAAAGATTTATTACATTTGAATTAGTTTATTTTGCTGCATTTAATCATGAATACAACGTACAACCCTATAAAAACCCTATTTTATAGAACCCTATAAAAGTAGTGATAATTAAATATTATCAAAAACAAAAAGAACACATTATACCCCCTATTTGACACAAAAAATATTTTGACATCTCTGACTTGCCAAATTTTTAAACCAATTTTATTTTCACTTTCATCATTTTATCTTTAACTGCTTGTAGTTTTAACTGTCTAGGGTCTTTATAGAAATTGTTTTACCAGCTTGTAGCCAAGATTCTCATGTTTCTGTAGATACCAAACATGTCTATGTTTAACTAAAAGAACTTAGAGGAATTAAAGTAGAAAACTGGGGGTTTGGGCTTAAGAGATGAATGAACCAATTGGCGGACCGAACTTTGCGGGCCGCCAGTTGAATAGCCCCGAAATAACACAAAACTTCTACAAAAAATGCCATAATCCCCAAAATGTGTACTATATGAAGAAACAAATGACAGGGGAAAGAAAATCCCACTTCTATCTGCTTTATTACAGCCATACATTTCCAGTTAAAATACTTTTAAAGCAATGTTTTCTGCTGATAACAAGGCAGCACTGACTGCCAGCTCTGCCGATGCAGAGAGGGAGAGAGGGAATGCCTTTTAAAACCACACGAAGGGCACGGATTAAATTTTACAGTGATCAGTGTGTGCTTTAGTTAACAGACCTGGAATGTTATCACAGTGTTTATTTCACAAATTTAGGCAAACCGCTGAGAAACAGAACTTCAGAGCTTTTTTGCAGTCCTTAAATCTGACGCTTTACATCAGGCTTTTTACTCAGAAACATGTTGTACAGTGTGTTGTCTACCGTAAGGAGCAGTGAGCTGTGTATGGCTGTGTAACGTCCCAATCAATCATAAAATGCAACATTTTTTTTATTTTATTTATGCTTATAAGCAACTAGTGTGCAATTACACTGCCTGGCCAAAAAAAAAGAAGTTGCTACCAAAAAAAAGTCACACTAATATTTCATTGGATTGCCTTTAGCTTTGATTACAGCATACAATCTCTGTACCTATTTGCTTATTTAAACCCAGGTAGCGTCTTTGTTTTGGCCAGGCAGCGTATCTTGCAGATTATATGTTGCCTTTGGGATACCCATTTGTATAATCTGCAGGTGAATGTTAACTCATGCTTTTATTTGAACATATTTTGATCATCAACACTTTTAATATGAGAAGTAGTCAGGTCTAAGAAAACAAAAATAAACATAATCTGAAAGCTAGATGTCAACATGTGACCTGTGTTGGCAAAATGAGTCGGAATGAGCACAGGCTGCCGTGCAAAAAAACATCAAACTGAATTTTGCTGTAACTGAGATTTCAATAAAATTGAGTCCATAAAAGCACCATCCAGTAGTAGCTAAATACTAATGCTAATATAATAATATGCTAGTAGCTAAAATAGCACATACTTTTCCTAATCTACCTTCAAATCAAAGTTTTCTAACACATACATGTTTTCAGAAATAATCATTTTAATTGTAATCCTTTGACCATATTTTACTGCAGGATGCCATAACACAGGGGAATTCCTTCATGTATTGTTTGGCGTCATTGGGAAGTATGGRGATTCCCCTTTAAATTGCCTGTGACATCAAATTTTAGTAATAAATGCAAGTGCATCTTTGGAAAGACAACATTAATAACATATTACAAAACAAATTTGAAGCCACTCAGATGAACAGTTGTTGAGATATTTGCATTGTGAAGTAACAGGAAGTGATGTCTGCATGGAAACAAAGTGTTACTAAAATGGCCAAAAACACAGACTGTAGAGAAGAATGTGATGTTTCTTTAGATTATTTTAATCACTATCATAAGAGTCAGAGTTCAAATAATATTGTTAAAATAAATTAAAACCAGGGAGTTTTCTTTCTCAGAGTTCCCCTTTGATGTCACTTCCTGTTTTACTTTAGCTGAGCCAAATTCAAAAGAAGATACGCCAGTTATGTGACATAACAGGTAAAATGATGTGTATTGTKCCAAGTTTTTTAAATATAAAGTTATTTTCCTTGTCTTTTTATATTTCATGGATATGCATGTCACAGGTACTTTAAAACATAGGACTAAAATTAACAGCGACATCACTCTGGACCAGTAAAAATAGTTTTCAGGCTGGTACTCTTTAAAGAAAACTCATTTGTTTTCAAGTGTGAAATCAATATGTTTCAGCAAACTACGCATCTCTGAAGTTTTATAAATGAAAAATTTGAAGAAAAAAATAGATCAACGTTGGAAAAATAAAAAATAAAAAAATATATAAAAAAAAGTCCTTTTTGTGATTTATTTTCCAGTATAAATCACATACTGGCCGCATTTAGTTTGGATTTTTTTGCTCTAATGAAAAACACTGACGATTTGATTCTTGTGAAATTACAATCAAGTGCCATGATGACTCCCTGACCAAAACACACCATTATCTGTATTAAAGATAAGGTAGAAATGTAAACACGGTTGGTGGCCTGATGATTTATTGAGACACACTGTGTAACAACATAACATCACTACTTCTACACTTTCCTTATCAAATTAATTTCCTGTCAGCTCTCCAGTCTGTTTATTTGACTTCACTTGTGGCTCTCTTTTTGCACCAGGCGACATTCCAAGCACAGCCCTTCATCAAACATCGTTCACGTCTGCAAATAAACTGCAAGTGAAGAAGTCCAGCAATAATAAAAAACAATCCCACAAGAACAGATGGGATTTTTTTGTTCTAGTTTTCACATTTTATAATAAAGATATTATTAGAAATATTAGAAATGTAGCTACTTGAACTCAAACTTTAATGACAAGCATAAAGGATTATGTGTCCCTGTGAAATCTAGCTCACTGCCTAATCAAAGGTGTAATGATGAAGAGAAGAGTCAATAAATGCAAATCTACAGTCTACAATAAACAACCTCATGAACTTACTCTTTCAAGTCCATCTCTTTGTTGTTGTCCTCCAACTCGTGTCCGAAGAAAACAAGCCTCTTCCAGCCATGCTCCGTCTTCGTCCACCTCCATCCAGGCGACCTCCAGTCTTTGCCTAAAAAAGGCATATTAACTGAAGAAGGGAGGTCTGGAAGCAGAGGGGACCGCTGTTCAACACCTGCAGGGTGACGCAACAGGATTTATGTAAAAGTAATTAGGACTAATTCAACTTTTAGTCTCTTAGGAAGTGTCTGGTGAGATTAGGAAAAAGAGGCATTATAAATTTATCACAAAAAATAAGAAACTTTATGTTTGGTAGATTTAAAAAAAATGCTTCTTGGCGATAAATCTTATAGCAGCACCTGATTTGCAACACCTGGGGGTACCAGAAGCTCAAAACAAGTGTCAATAACAACAACAAAATAAACAGTTTGGCAGAGAAGATTTGGCACATTTTTAAGTGTTTTCAAMCCACATACTCAGCTCTACGAATGCATGTTCCTTACAAATGTGGCACCATTTAAAGGTGAAATTAACAGGTTTTCCTACGTTTTAAAATTTATAGTCAAGAATCATTGTTACAAAGTTCCTAACTTTTTCTGCTAAGTATAGTTTGAAGAGGTCTGAAAGCATTTAATACTCTGATAATAGTGGTTTTTATTCCATTTAAACAGTGAAGATATAAGGTGAAAAGGTCACACATGTCACACAAAGTTGTCTAAAAATAATTAGTGTGATTCGTTCTTTTTTTTTTAAATGACCCTATTCTTTTGGAAAACGGAAAAACTACATAAAACAGTTATAAAACCATATGCATTTAAAATATTTTATTTGCACTGCACTGAGCTAAATGGCCTAGCTTTTCATCCACTTTAAACCCCACAATACACATAATATACCTTGTAAAAATAACGGCTAATGTATTCGTAAATCTTCAAAATAAATATATTTTTACGTTTATTGCTAATTTACGAGTTTTTGAACCGAGGTGTTTCAAAAAGCAAAGAAGGTGATACTATGTTGAGCTTTTTGCTCAGTGAGAAAAGCAAAGCGTTGCCCACTACGTCGACATTTTTACCAGGTAACTAAACGATTGTCGGTCGACTAAAACGCTTTACCCGGACAGAAACAAAATAATTTAATCATGTATTTCGWCCCGCTGATAGTTTCTTTAAACGACAGGGGAAAGTAAATATAAACAAACCTTGACAGTCAAACAGCTTCTTTGTTCCTCCGTTCCTCCTTCCTGCAGTGGTGGGGAATATTGACGGAAGTAAACACAGAGTGAAAAAAACAACTCAGCGTTAGTCCCCACCCATYTGCTGCTCTCTGATTGGTCAAAACATCTGCATTTACGATGTTGCTACCCGACTTCGCACCGCTGATTGGACAAACAGAACTGTCATTTATTCTTTTTTTAATCCCGTTTGTTTTGTTGGGGTCTTTCTCACGTGATAGAACACTGCGCACATGTACTTGTGTTTTTATTTTGAACATGGGGGGGATGGGATCGGGACCGCTGTACAGCTGTGTGAGTGCTATGACTGAGCAGTAGTTTTAAAACCTAAAAAACAAACAAACAAAAAACATTAAAAGACAAATATAACCCGCCATTTCAAATACTATTTTTAAAATCTCCATTATTGCTTCATTTACTATGATGCATCAATAATTTAAAAAAAGCATTGTCACATTTCCACAAGTCTTATTTGAAATTTTTACATATTGCTGTATTATATTATTTGTCTTGAGATGCATATTTCTGTGGAGGACCGAATGCAGGAGACTGTGTAAAAGCAATACATGGAAATAATAAAACTTGTGGGAAATATAT